GGCCTTATCGATGCTTACTCTGTGCACACATTTAACTAAATCAGTTTAGAAACAGATTTAATTAAATCTGTGAAACCCCTCTTGTAAAGGCTCTTATTTCATATTATGGAGTACCTTAAACTAAGTTATTTTACATCTTTTTTTAACCAACTTAAACTAAATCACAGTGCCACTCTTAATTCAAAATATGTGCATCTACAAAAGGGCTTTGCACTGATTTAACTACATACGTTTCTAAACCGATTTAGTTAAATTATTGCATAAACGGTGTGTAGACCAGCCCCACACCAGTGGTTCAATATAAAATAGAACCCATAACCACCAGTCTTGTTTTTTTGCTTTAGTCACAGCCTTATATTTCATTACCAAAACTAACATAAAGCTGCATCAAGGAGAGGTGCTCACACATTAGAACACAGCTCCCTTATACAGCTGACTCATAATAAGCCTGTAATGAGTGAAGGGAATCACTCATTACATTGAGGCACAGAGGTGCAGAACTCTAGCAGATCCTATAAAATAGTAATGACGTAAGGGCTGGATGGGAACAGAGGTCAGTCTTCACCAGCAATTGCTGAATCAAACAGATGACTAATGGAGAAGAGGGTAAGTTTGAGGCAAGGGAGAAAGACAAGAGTTTAAATAGGGCTCTCAAATCCTCATATACAGGGATTGGGCATTTTAGGGATGTTAGACCAATTAGATTAGGACTTGCGATACAGATCAGTTACTGGCAGCTCATTCAGGCTTGGACTTTTCAGAGCTTTGGGGGTAACAGGAAATCCTAGCTTTTTACATTTGTAGAGCTCTGTGTGGATACAAAATTTGTATCCACATCCGATCTGCAAAAATGGTCCACGAATAGCCATGAATATAAAGTGGATATCTGTGAATTTGCAGGGCTCTATACGTTTGCAGGAAAACACTTACGCCCCTTCACTCTCTCCCTTGCCTGCAACAGGACTGGGATTGACACTAGGAATGACATCTCCTAAAAAGATTTTTTTTTTCCCCTGTAGATAAGGGATGATTTAAAGTTACCAAATAGGTAACACAGGCAACTGAGAACTGAACTTAAAGAATCTAATTAACTACTTATGCTGCTTAGCAATTCCACTTTTGTTTACTCTTGTCACCAAACAGGAACTGCTTAGATGATTTACTACTGAGCAAATCCCCTAAAACATTGCAAATGCATGACATTACTGCTACAGGTGCTATGGTGGTCCACTAAAGCCTCTCTCCTGGAAAGTTATTTTTGCTCCAGCTGTCTATAGCTCAGCTCTACCACTGGCTACCAGACCTGACTCCTCGTGAGAGTTATAATGGAAGCAGGGAAATTATCTGCAGTAAGAGATACAGGAAGAAAAGCCCCCAAAACAATATTCCTAAAGATACTTTGATTTTGATGGCCATTGCAGAGAGCATATCTAAATAAACGTAAGAAATCAGCCATCTAGAATGCTGTCAGCAAGGTTCAAGTTAGGCCAGATCACACCAGGTCAGAGACCTAGATACCCCCCCGCAATCTGCCATCTTGTTCTCCAAAATCTCAATTTTCACTTAAAGTCTTTTGGTCTCCTGATTGTGAAGAAAGCATTTAAAATGTGAAATGACTAACGGCTGCAACAGCCTGAGTCTGCACAAAACCTGAAAATCACTCACAGGTCTGAGCTACATGATTCTTCTTAATGGGGCATCAACATAAGTGCCCAGGGATGATAATAGGTCAATATTGTTAACTCCTCTACTGCTTATCAAACTAAGAAAGAAAGGAGGGGGAAGATCACGTTATGAAGTGCTGCAGTCTACACAGAATTAAATATCTTGCTTTGATGTCATGAGGGGGTGGTAGGTGGGAAAACTACTTTTTTTTTTTTTTTTTGTGAAGCCAGAAGCCCACAGAGCGCCCCAAAGGGGGTGCCAATCCCACAGAACCCAAGCCAAGCTTCCCTTCCCCAGAGCAACAAGAACCTAGTCCAATTTGGTGGTTAGTGTGAGGCCAAGGGGCACCCTCCCTGGCTACAGTGGTTGTTGCTTCTCCTTCTGGAAGCTGCTTGCAGACTCAGGCAGACCCTAATGCAGTTATGCTCTGTCCATGTTTTCAAGCTTTTCTTCGCATACAAAAGAGCTAGTAACAACTTTTCAGAAGCCAGCTTAGATTTTGAACTCATCACATGACTGCAAGAACTGGGGCCTCTGCCTTTGTTGAGAACTGTGTATACAAGCCTCCATATGAAGAGTCAAACCTGACCAGCTCAGCAGAGCACCAGTGATCATATTTTGAACATCTGCAGATTTGATGGTGAATGGTGCGTCAAGCATTGACTTGCAGGCAGAGTATTACTGCCTTTTATCCCCAAATTGAGTCCTCGCTTTCAGGTCAATGTTCTGTTACTGAGAGGCACCAAAATTAGAGTCCACGTACAGTACAGCATAACTCCATTTTTGTATGGGGGCTTTCATATAAACTATAATCCCAGAACACTTTACAGAAGTACATGGACTCTGCCAAAAAAAATCATTATTTCCAATATTTTTGCCTGTGTCACTGACAACTGAGAACTGAACTTAAAGAATCTAATTAACTATTTATGGTGCTTAGCAATTTCACTTTTGTTTACTCTTGTTCTCTCTCAACTTCTCAGTACTTCAGTGTTTGGGTCAGAAATAATACAGGAAAATGTTTAATTGCTTAAAAGCTACTGCTTCCAGTCAAATTTTTTTAAAAAAAATTATTTCATGGCACTACTTCTACTAGTCTTAGGGCTCTGTAAAAACTTGTTTTTACGAATTCTAAATGTTTGCTCAAATTTTACTTAAGTGCCCCCATATACAGTAAGAGAAATAGAGGTCCAGGTAAGTGAGACAAGATACATTGTAAGCTGAAAGGGAGATTTAAGGAGGTGCAGCAAAATAGGAAAAGCATTCCAGATGGTAGAAACAGTAAGCAGGGGTAGTCAGCAGGCAGAGTTTAGGCCAAATCCTGATCACCAGATGCTTTTGAACAGACCATGGAGTCTTTTTATTTACTTGTTATCATTATTGTTATTGAGGTGTGAAAAATGTTTCTCTGTAGTCTGGACCTTGACTAAGAAATTTGAACCTTGACAAAAAATAATTTGACTACCTGCGTGGAGTTTGGGTTCAGAAATAGAGGAGACAGTGGTTTTAGTGGGAGTTGTGTCCATTTACACCAGACCTGTATTTTGGGCACAGTCCATAGAATAAGCTTGACCAACCCCATGAAGGAAGTTTCAAGAATGAGATTAAATGGCAAGCTTTGTCTGCCTTATTTCCTGTGTCCCACACAAGCATGATCTATTTTATTTCCACACACAATAGATCACCCTCTCCTTTCATATTCTAATACAACCCTGCCTTCCTTAAAGTGAAGCTGGGGGGTCAAATCTTACTCCAAAATTAGGTTTTGTAAAAACAAAGTTAGAGCAACAGACCCATTTCCATGAATTTCCCCCCTCCCAACTGAAACAGTATTTTTAAATAATAACTTTCCTTTACAATGTTTGTAACCCAAACAAAACACCACTGAGCAAGCGCATGAAGACCAGAAAATGAAAATAAATTTTTCATTGCATAAGCATAAAAAGAAAAATCCATAGTGACATAAAACAGATTGTCAATAAATCCTGATTTTTTAACTCTTTCAGAGTTTATTTGTAACACATAAGAAAAGTTTGGTTTTTACACTGCAGTTGTATTTTAGAAGGCAGCTTTGTAAGAATGGGAATTTGTGGTTCCCTATGTCTCACTGAGCTCAAATCAAATCAAATGTGCTCAGTAGAAAGTCATTCATAACTCCCAGCCCTACAACCTGGGAATGAAGCCAGGTTTTTGTTTCCTGCTTGTGCATCATCAGCAGCATGAGATTCTGCAGACCAACTTTTCCTTCAGTGTCACTTGGGCAACCTGATTAGCCGTCAGTAGGGCTGCACAGGTGTCACTGAGGGCAGAACTGGGCCTGCAGGGCCTTTAGTGCTGGCTCTGATGCAAACGGGAAAGCCCCAGCTTGATCTTCAGATCCCAGACTCTGGTTGTAGGGCTGGCATTTACCAAAGTTACGGTTTTGCTACATGTAAGCTGAGCTCCTGTGACCTAGAAACACCGAGACACAATAATCAAGGAGTCCCGCAGGGCCATTTTTACAGGGTCACTTTTCAGGGCAGAATCAGTTTGATAATCCCCCCAACCCGCCAATAAAATCAGTGCAGAGCACAGAGGGGAAGAAAGCCACGGGCAGAGAAGGCAGCAGCCGCCAGGGGGAATCAGGAAGCTGGGGAGGAAGAAGAAGATAAAAAGCAAGAGGGAGCAGAGGAGAAGCGGATGGGGAGGCAGGGTCAGGGAGGATCCTCATCCCGCTCTCTGTTGCTGAGGCTGCACCGCTGCAGGGAAGGCAGCTGGTTCCCGTCCCCTTGCAGGCGGGCGCAGCTGCATCCCCGGCGCGGTGTGCGCCGCCCCCCCCCCAGCCCAGGCCTGCCTCCTTCTCCCTCCCAGGGCCCGGGACGGCTGCCGGGCGCGTTGCACGGGGCAGCCTGCTCGCGCGCTCCGCCCGGGGCCACTCACTGAGCATCGCAGGCGGCGGCGGCGGCTTCTACTGCTGCGGGCACAAGGCGGAATCCTGGGCTCGCGCTGTCACTGCGCCCGCCGGCGCGAGACGCCGCTCTCCGCAGCGCGCGCGCAGCCAGCGCCGCCTCCCTTGGCTGCCGCTGCGGCTGCCTCAGTCTCCGCCGCGGCTCGAGGCAGCCGCTCCATGACTGACTGACACAGACAGAGAGAGCGAGCGAGCGAGGAGAGCTGGGGCGGCTGCCACAGCGCATGCGTGATGCACCCGCCGCCCCCCCACCAATGGGAGGCCCTCGCCGCGGCGCTCGGCTAGCGCTGCCTGGCGCCTTGAGCGGGCGAAGGGCAAAGGCCACGGGGCGGCAGCACGTGTGTGCGGGGACCCGGGGAGGCGCGGCCGGGTGAGGCGGGGGCCTGCGCGCGGGGTGCGGCCGGTGTGAGCGAGCTGCCCCCGGGCTTGTGCAGCGCCGGCAGCCGGGGAGCGGGCCGCGGGCCGGGCCCCAGCCCCAGCCCGGGAAGGGTGCCCCGGCGGGTGGCTGCCTGCCTCCCTCGCGGTGTCTGGGCAGCGTGTCTCGGAGCAGGGCGAGATCACGCTGGCCCGAGCCGAGCGAGGCTTGTTGCGGGCGTGCGGTGGGGTCCGTGGTCTCAGGTGACCCTTGGGTGGGTCTGGCGTACGGCAGCCGCAGCGGCGGGCACTTGCTCCGTGTGGTTGGCCGGACATAACTGAATCCGGCCCGTTATTTTCCGGTCTGTACCGGACCCCGTGGCTCGCCTTTGGAGGGGTGGGTTCGGTTCAGCTGTTGGCACTGGCGGTGCTTGCTGTGTAATGGGCGAGGTGCCAGGGCCCAAGGCAATTAGGTGCCAGGGCTTAAGCAACTCCTTTCCATTCATAACTGGTACAACAAGCCTAGCGGTGGCGGGGCTATGAACTGCCAAGCCTAGAGGTGCCGGGGGCTCACACCTGGCAAACCTTGGGACAAATGGAGCACTGGATGTAGGGTCTGATCCTGAGACGTGGTGGGCATGCGCAGTTTCCTGTGATTTTTTTCGGAGGAATGTTGGGTAGTTCAGCACCTCTCATAAAAAGGCCCAGTTTATGTTGGTGTCTTCTCAGTTTTCCCAGCTCTTGTTTGCCTGGTATCCAATGCTGTTTCCACTGATTTCAGTGGATTGGATCCTCAGTGACCAGACCTGCTTATCAAACCCAGGTCTCTTGCATTGTAAAGCCGAATGAACATAGGGCTAGCCCAAATAAGAGTCTGCTTTACTAGAGACAAATAACCATTAATTCTGGTATTCTTAAATCCTTCTCGTTAATGTTTATTTCAAGTGCATCTAATATTTTTGTGAATATTTGACATTTCAGATACAATAATAGTCTCTATGGCTGCAATTTACTCAGGAATTCACCTGAAGCTGAAAAGTGCAAAAACCTCTTGGGAAGACAAAATCAAATTAGCTCACTTTGCATGGATTTCCCATCAGTGCTTTCTTCCAAATAAAGAACAAGTATGGTTTTCTGTTGGTTTTTTTTTTAAATTGTTTTGTCAAATGCAGAAAAATGTACCAATTAATTGCTGTGGAGCCCAAGCTGATTCAGAGGATGAATCAAGATGCATTGCATAGCCTTTCACCTGTAGACACTGGTGCAAATACAGCTGCAATAGGGAGTAACTGAAAGTTGTTGCTGATGATGGTTGTGAAGTAGACCAGTCTGTTTCCTAATAGGCTTTCATCTCTATCACAACAATGACCACTAAGAGGCAGTCATATGGAAGTTTTGTTTAGTGGCTTCAGTAGAAAGTCCAAGTATAGAATGGGCTAAAGAATGAACTACCTTCTCACATCTAAAGATGGTTTTTCCAATTCAGGATTGGGACATGCTCATGGGGTAGAGGGGAGAGAGATGCAGTGTCCATGCTATACTTGTTTTGTGGATAAATTGAAGACCTCTGTCTCCAGAGTTGTAAGGCTAGCATCTTTCATCACATTTCCTACATGGCCCCCGCAAAGTCTGGCCAACCGTCTCCTGATAATGGCTAAAATGACCATCCACCAGACCAGGACGGGGAAATTGGACTGGTGGGGGAGAGTTCTCTGTGGCTGTGAGACCTGTTTCCTGGCACATTATCTGTATGAATCTGGGCATCATGACCATTCACTCCTTGGATTCTTCCTTGGAGTAGTGGGTATTGTCCAGCACATTCTCTGTGCGGTGTTCCTCTCTGGATACCATGTTTTGATCCTGTGACCTATTTTTTTGTTCCCTGTAAATAGTTGATTTCTGGGACTTGTGGCTCCTCCTTTCACCTGAGAGGGGCAGACCTTACATCGTTTAGTGGGCTTTGCCTGCTGACCCAGCTCACAAACCACCTAGCATTTTAGTTGAGAACTTAGCACAAGAAGGATCTGTAAAAATGTTGTTGTTTTTTTAAATTGTTCTATGAATTGCTTTAAAACATGAAATTAACCTTTAATAGAATGGCTAAGTGAGCAACGTTATACAATTTAATTGTGTATTAATGGTTTTTGCCTACATTTCCTTAGCTTTTTAAAGAAAAGTAAAACTTTTAAAATGTTATTTCAAAGCATCTTCTTAAAGAACTTGGAAAAAAATTAAGAAAAATCTTATTTATTTCGCATCTATATACAAAAACGGAGCAGAAATTGAAGGCTTCCTCTTTACTCCCCTGGGAAACTTGGCTTCAGTGGCTTTAATAATTTTAAAATTATCTTATTATTTCTCTCCCAAAATTTAAAAACTCTATCGTCTTTGCTAGCAGAGATTGTTTCCTTGAATTTGGCTCAATGGGTTACAGTATGTGCTTCTTCCTTAACCGTAGTTGTAGATCTGAAGGCTTTGTAAGAGCTGGAAACTTCATAATGGTTAGCATGGAGCTTGCAATCTATGTACCTTGAAAGTTCAGTGCTGACTTATGACATTTATAATCCTTTACAGGTCAGACAGGGCCTTTGGAGCTTGTAACTGTATAATGGTGATAGTGGAATTTATAAGATATTCAGATCTGGTCTGCAGACCCTCTAGTACATGGACTATGTCTGTACACCTTGTAAGCAAAGCAGACACTGCCCAAGGATTTTGTAAGCTCTACAGATTGCAAAGCTTCAGAGGGTTGTTTTTGTTTCTCTCTCTCTCTCTATATCTATCTATCAATATCACAGAGAGAGAGAGAGAGACTGAAAAAAATAGGAACTCCAAAAAAGTTAAATCAGGCCTGTGCAATCATTCTATTCGGGGATCGAGATTTTAAATAAACGTGCAATCTTTAGGACAAGCTGTTTTTGCATTTTGGAAATGAGAACAGTTTTTATAAAGTGAAAATCCACAATTCTTTTCGTAAGTTCCCTCACTCAAAAATGTCCTCACTGATATAAAAATTTCATGTGAGAAATTTTCTCTGCTGGTTTAAGAGAAGCTGAAAGGAAATGCATTTTCACCCTTGAAATTAGCTTTACTATGAAGGTTAGAGCGTGAAGGGAGCCAAAATTGAGTTTAGAAACTGTTACAAATTCAGGCCCTGATCCTGCTTGGAGAACTGCATAGACAAACTTGTGTATCCATGTCAAGCTCATTCTCAGGTGTGAAGTGGCTACTACAGTTCTGTAACCTTTTCCCATGGAGGTAAAGATGATCACCCACAGCTGTATATTTTTGTTTGTTTAAATTACATAGGTATTACTTGATTGGGTGAGCCATGCATTGGTTTCATATTACAACAAGAAACTTGAACTGGAGGATGAAATTGTTGAGAAACTTTGGACGTACCTGGATAACATCCTCCATAGCAGAAAACTACAGAATCTCTTAAAGGATGGAAAGACAATCAACCTCAGTTTTTTGATTGCACAGGTAACTCAAACCAAACTCTTTGTTAAGTGATGAATGTCAGTGCAGTATGTGATACAATATATGACACTTCCTTTTAGAGGTAGGTGTTGTATGAAATAGTTAGGGATAATTTAGCTTACATTTTTAGGCCATTGTATTTATTTTCCCTTCTATCCCCTCTGTTGCAAGACAGCTGATATTTGTGGAGAACAAAGATTGAAAGCAACAACACTTCCCAATAGCCTCATACTCGGATGATTTCACACAGGTTTTCCCCTCCCCAAACTATCAGGGATGGAACAAGATTAAATATTTTGGTTAGTAAGTAAAGACCCAGTCAGGCAACCCCTATTCTCACAAGTAGCCTAGATGACTTCATTTCAGACTACTCATGTGAGAAAGAGTTAAAGGCTCGCAAATGTATATTAGTATAGGAAACTCTGGAAGATCATATGGCTGTTTTAGAGTATAATTGGAATTATTTGCTTACTAATTGAGATCCTTGCTAAATAGGTTGTCCAACTGGGGATAAGGAGGGAATTTCCCCCCCTGTTGGTAGGGACCTTGTTGGGATGGGGAGGGCATCTTGCCTTTCTTTTCTCTACAGCACTAAGTAAGTTTCTTCACGGTTAGAATGAGGTGGACTATCATGCATCATTATTGCTGCTGCTGTTCTTCTTACAGTAGTCAGTCAGGAATGGGGTCTCATGTCAGATGCTGTGCAGACACATGCAAAGACACGGTTCCTACCCTGAAAAATTTATAGTCTGAAAACGATCAATTGTCTATGCCTGGGGTCAGGAATAACCACTGGTGGGTCTATGTCCTTCCCATCTTCTGTTACTAATGATTGTTTAAGTGCTGTTGATGTGTCCAGCCGGAGCTGCCCAGCAAATAGAAGATTGTTGTCTGTTCCCCAATGACCTTTGTTTCTGTGTGCAAGGTTGATAGTGATGCTTTTTTTGTTGTTTTATCTTCAGGTCATAAATGAAAGGATATCCGAGTCCTGCATTCAAAAATCCCGCGGAAATGGTGGTACAGTGCTAAGTTGTTGCAGGGGCATCCTTTCCACTCCGCCTCTCTCCATCATCTATACCACAAAATATGAGCTGATGGTAAATCTCCTAAGCAAGCTCTCCTGGCTGGCCTGTCAATGGCTGACCTCAGAAGATGCTGTGACCTCCCAGTTGTTTGATGTCCTCCAGCTGACCTTTGCTCAGTACCTCCTGATTCAGAGGCAACAGATCAACCCAAATCGTGTGTTTGGGCAAGTGACCAGCCACTTGTTTCAACCATGTCTGCTCCTGAGGCATTTGCTTATGGCCAGAGCGTGGACACCAGCTGATGATGGCCGCGTACGTCAGCATCTGAGCAGGGAAATCCGAAACCAAGTAGAGGCTGTGCTACAGGCTGGGATTTTCCAGCCTGAGCTCTTGTCCTCTTACAGAGGGGAGCTCCTGCCAGAAAGGGAACCGCAAGAGAAAAAGAAAAGGGCTCTTAAAACTATTCTGATGCCAGTCAAAACAGTGCTGTCCAAGTTCCAGGATGCTAGCTTTTGTGAATCAACGCTCCAGGTGATCATAGTAGCAAATTCAGTACCTCTGCTTTATAAGCTCTTTTTGGATTCTTACTGTAAGGCAGAAAACCACATGGTCTGTTTCCACATGTTCACCAGGCTTTTTGGCTGTCTAAGGATTTCTCACCTGCAGGAGGATCTATGGCAGGAGATGCTCTCGCCAGTAGACTGGAGCACAGAACTGCTTGCTGTGGAACAGCTCCTGAACTTGGTGCTCAGCAACGATATCTATAACGTTGCCGCTGACCGGATCAGGCACAAAGAGACCCAGTTCCAGTTTTACCGCAAACTGGCAGAAATGTTGGTGAATCGCTCCCAGGCTTCCATCCCAGCTTGGTTTAGGTGTCTCAAGACCTTGATTTCGTTAAATCATTTAATTGTCGAGCCTGATCTGGATGACCTTGTGGCCTCAGCTTGGATCGATGCAGAGGTCTCTGAGCCACGTACAAAGAAGCCTCAAGAGACTCTCATAAATGCCATGTTTCAGACTTACACGAAGCTGCGACAGTTCCCTAAATTCTTTGAAGAGGTTCTGTCCGTGATCTGCCGTCCAGCTGATGATGAGTTAAGGCTGCCAGTCTTGTCTGCTGGGCTGACGGCAAAGCTTCGTGAGTGCCTCCTCGAGCTGCCACCCAACCAGATTCTGGATATTTTGTTCCTCATACTGGAGAAGTGTCAGACTCAAATAATTCCTGACGTTAAAGATGATTCTGACATGGCACTGAAGCTGTTGTCTGTGAGCTCTGTGCTTCACACTTTTCTGTTCAACATGAAGAGTTTGGATAATGTCACCCCATTACCTGTTGTCCTTCGCACTCAGAGTCTGTTGGACAAGATGCAGAAAGAGGTAATCCAGCCATTGCTAGACCTATTGAAGGATCAGTGGGCAGACGAAGATAAACCAGGGCTTTGGCTAGAGAAGGTCAGTGATTCCGCGCTCCTCCTTGTCTGCACATGGGTGGAGGTTGACACTCTGCTTAGTATAAACTGCAGCAAATATGTGTCTCGACTGGCTGAAGCAGCTGGTGGTGGTACTGACTGTGCTGCAGAGAGCTGGGACTTCTCAGCCCTTCTCCCTGGCGTGGATAGCCAGTGTTGGAAGAGGGTAGTGAGATTCTCAAGTAATTTCTGCTCACCTAGTAAATATTGCTTAGAACTGCTCATGCTTCAGAAAATAAAAAAGATCTTAATGCAAACCAGTTTTCAGACTGAGGCTGATCTTCACACCTTGCAGCATGCCGCAGCTTTCATCCTTCATTCTGGAAGATCAAGCATGAGCATGGAAGAGTCCGAACCTTGGAATGGCAACATCAGTGCAATAAATGCTCTCACCTACCCCGCTGCACACTGGTACCTTGTAGTCTCAAATCTAACAATCCTGATTCCTCATCTTTCTCTGAAAGATGTAGAGTATGTTGCTGATGTGCTTCTGAAGACTTTACCATCAACTAAAGCTCCGGGAGTTTCTGCAGATCAGGATTCCTTCATCACAGCTGAAAAGGTTTCTAAAGCCTTGCTGCATAGTACTTTTCTTCCAGAAATTAAGGTGCTTCACTGTGCTTTTATAAGCCGCATTATTCAGCAGTGCTCTAGTGTGTTTTGTTCTGCTACTCAGGGCATCGTGGATCAGCCTATTCAACAGCTGTCTGCAGTTAATATACCATGGCATGAGGAAGTCCTCTCATCTTGCAAGATGGTTGGCATGGGGGAGGCACAGTCAGAAAACAATCAATCAAAGGCTGAACCCTTCATTTGCTGGACAACAATGGAAAAAATTGCTCAACATATATTGTTGTTAACAAGGACCGGTTCCCCCATTACTTTGGAAGAAGACCAGATAGAAAGCTTTCTGCATTTACTAGAGATGATTTCTGCATTGAAACTTGACAGTCTTTTTCCTTCAGACCATACCCGTTGTTTTCTCTTGCTGCTGTCCTTGGTAGCCAATACCAGAGCTAACATCTCTTGCAGTAAGTTGCTATCATTGAAGTTTCTAATTACCTGCTTCCGCCTCCTAACATGCCTACAGACTGGCAGAAGTGTCAACTCTATCTTTAAAGTTTTTCATGCCAGTGATGCTCTTGAGGCTGTCATGACCGCCCTGTTTGCAGCCAGCAAGTGCTTTGCTGATGTTTTGACCACTCCCGCCTGGGCAGAATTTCTCCAGGTGATCCAAACCTTTTTGGAATGCTTTTTTCAGATGATTGTCGAAAAGAGGCAGAGCCTGAAACTCAATTTGGAAAAGTTCTCTTTTTTCCTAGCGAGCTGCAAACCATATGTTGATGCAGACAGAGGCAAGCCCTGGAACACTGCAGTCAATCAGCTGCTCTTAGTGCCGCTAACCACACTCTGCCATGTTCTGACTCTGTACCTCCAGCAGCAGCCAGAGAAGAAACAACAACTGACAGAAATGCTGTCTGCTTTGTTGGAGCCAACAGTCCTCCAGACAGGAACAGCCATCCAGCTCTGCCTTAGAAACCTCACCAAAGACCAGCCTTTGCCTTTGGCATTCATCCCAGCTGTCTCAACTCTACTGAAAGCAGATCTGAGCTACATGTGCACTGGTCGCTTTATGAAAATGGAAGGCAAGCAGGAGAATCCTAAAGACCCAGGAAAATATCGGGAGTATTCCCACACTGAACTGTACCAAAAGTTTTACACTCAAGTACTGAGAGAGCTGACCTCTGTGGAAGGCCATCTCCAGTTCTTTCACTCTGCCTTGCAGTTTTTAACTGTTTTCTGCTCAGTAACAGATCTGTATCCTGGAGAAGAGACTGCTCTCACTGTGTTCCATGCTGTAAAAAAACTCCTTGCTGGTACAGAGCTCTTTTTTTCTTTTCTTCAACTCCTCCGTTTAATTTTGGAATACAGGGGTGGGTAAAAGCATCCAAGAGGTTCTTAAGAAAGTCACAAGATATCCACGTATGCTAGTCCATCAGTAAATTGGTCCTATCTTCTTAAGAAACAAACTGGGAAGCTTTTAGAGGGATACTGTTGTCATGACTGGGGCGCAGTGTTGACCTGTCTTGGTAGGGGTCTCATCTGGAAGGTCTTTGAGGATGTCAGCCACGTAGTTATTTTGATCTCCTTGCTTTCACAGAAATAGTTACTCATGTGCCTCAGTGCTCATTTTTGTGCAAAAATATGTATTTTGCCTATGCTAATACATGTTTTGTATGTGCACGTGTATATTTTGTGACACAAATCTATCAAGGTTTGAAAATGTAGCCCTTAGCCCTTTTTAAAATACTACGCTGTTCTCTAAATGATGGCCCAAGGCACTGAGAAACACCCCCGTAGAAATATTCTGTTTAGGACCATTTCACCAAATGTGGTCAAACTTTTTGGGGCTGCTCTGAAAATGCATTTTTTTTTGGTCTTATGTATCTGGTATAGTAACTATCTCTGAAGGAGTTAATGGATCGGCTTAGTTAAATAACTCAGCACTTTTCACTGAAGATCTCAGAGGGCCTTACAAAGGTAGATAAGTATCATCTCCATTTAAAGGTGAGGAAATTGAGGAACAGAAAGACTACTGGCCTGGTTTTCAGAGGTGCTGAACACAGTATACTCCAGGCAAAGTCCATGATAGCTGTGGGTACTTGGCACCTCTCAGAAAGCCAGACCCTTTATCACCTGCACACAGTGAGCCAGTGACAGAATTGGAATTAGGGGAACCTGGTCTTCTGACTGCCAGTGTGATCTAACAACTAATCTATGTTGCCTCATTTAAAATATAACCTAAACTGACATTCCACATGTGCAGTGTAGTAGTACCAAAAAACCTGGCAATATTATTTTTGTCTTTGATGCCTGAAAGATTTGATTTAGTCTAGTTTACTACTACAGTGATCTTACAAATGTATATTACCCCCTGGTTGGTAGGGAATCACAAATGCACTTAATCCCTTAATTGTAGTACAATTCTGTATGGAGAAGCCTTTTTGTAAATCTGTTTGGGAGCCTGGCTGAAGCTCTTGCTAGTTGAGTTGCAAATAGATTTTTATATTGTGTCTATGTATAATATTTCTTGCACGCTGTGTATCTCAATTCTTTCCAGTTACAGAATTCACCACAGGAGGCAGTATGATATAAGTGTTAAAACAGGATTGGGAGTCAGGATTACCAAATTCTGACCCTGGCTTTTCTGCTGACTCCCTCTTAACATCTCTGTACCACACTCTACTCATGTACAAAGCTGGTATATTTATTTAGTGCAGAGGCATAATTAATGGTGATAAAATGCTTTGAGATTCTCTGATGAAATGTGCTGTAGAAGTGCCAGGCTTTAAATAGATTTAAATTATTTTCTCCTACAGAAAATCTTGCCACAAATCCCAGGAGTTACTGCTACATTCGGGGTGTTTGTGGAGCAGATAAATATGCTTGCAAAGTAAACCAAAATTTAAACTAGTCATAGATAATATAATCTTTGACTTCATATGTAGGAGACCTGGTCACTGCTAAACCGAGATCTAAGCATTGTCCATTAATATTCATGTGATGTGTGGCTCTCCTCCCAACACCCTGATATTCTGTAGCTTGTGATCAACTTGTTCCCCTAGCTTGTGAACAAGCCTCATTATGGGGTTTTCACAGAGTGAAAGCATTTAATCAAGATACTGACTGCGGGATACACAGTAGGATGGGAATGTTCTGAATGATACACTGCTGCTGTGGTTGGTGGGAGAAAGCAGTTCTGTGCGGGTGAACATTAAAAAATCACTCACAGAGAGAGCTCTTTTTCAAGGCTTGATTTTGAAAGGGTTTTTTTGGCAGTTCCCCAGGTGGATAAGCAATTCAGACGTGTTTGTGTCTCTTGAATATGCAGGTCCTGGCACCACAGTCCAGGTGATTCAAGATCTAGAAATGCAGCTGACAGAGTTGATGACTCAGCTGGTGGAGAGCTGCACGACTGAGGAGTTCTGTGTCATGATGAGGCTGGTGCTCCAAGGACTTGAAGTTAGCAATATTTGGAAACAAAATCCTAAAGTAGGGAACTTTGGGCTTATTTCTTATAATTTATTTTCTTTAGTTTTCTCTCCATGGCTTGAAGAACTGCAATAGAACATGGATGGTATCTGATAAAATGGGCAGGAAGAAAGACCGTGAATACAACATGAGGAACACATAGGAGTTTGGCTTTAAATGTGTGTTTGTTATGCTGCACACTCATGGTAACTTACATGGCAATAAACCTGGTGCTTAGGTACTGCGATGAAGAGTGCCCTAGAAATACCTGAGATCGATAGACTCCACTATGAAAAAGAGAGAAACTTCTTACCTATGAAGAAAGCTTTCAGGAGGATCCCCAGGCATTTAGCACTCTAATTCCCAGTAACATTAACAGGAGTCTCCCATCAGTGATTTCCTGTAGAGAATGCAGAAAGTCGACGCCTATGTGTTAATTCTAATATTACAAACTAGCCAAATAAAAGCTTTAATTTTGTTTCCTATTGTGTTATTCAGTAGAGTCCTCAGACTCAGCATCCAGGAAAAATTTGTCATAATTATGTAGGTGATTACCAGGAAGCTGGTTCAGTCCATGAACACGCAAAACAAAGATTTGCCTAGTTCATTTAAAAGTCACACCTAGTGTGGTCTGTTCTTTGCAGTTGTAGGTGTAAACTGGCACATGCTAGTATACATTTCTTGTAGTGTGGGTGGTTCTTTTCTTATCACAGTACTACTTAGCACTAACTGAGCACTTTTCATTGGCAAAGTGGTTTACAAACACAAATGTACTGATCGTCACAAGACTGCTTTGAGGAGGGTAAGTTAGTACAATTATCCCCATTTTTCAGATGGAGAAACTGAGACCAAGACCAGACAAAAGGTTTTATCACTTAAAAATTTCCCACTATTGTTACCACCAAAGCTGTAGCATAGACAAGAGACTTGCAGCCACTGGCATTTTAACCATTTTATTGTCCAAACCTACTCTGAACAGGGTCAGGTGGCACGGTGCTTTTAAACACCAGCAGTTATGTGAAGCACTGATTATATTAGTGCTCCCACTATTCTATTCTGTATAGGTTCTTATACCGTGCTCATTACTGTAGCATCTGAGCATCTTCCAGTAGTTGATTAAGTGACATGTAACATCTGTCGCCAATGGAACTGAATTGGTAGTTGTAACATTGGGAAGAAATTTGGCAAACAAGCCTGGCATAACCTTCCCCCTCTCCCCCCCCCCCCCATTGGAAGGTTAAGTGACTTGGAACTCAGAGCCTTGCTGAAGCTCAGGAGTATCTGGCTCCCAGACCTGCCCATTTGGAAAAGGCATCTGTGTGTCATCTCTGTAGATAATGTCCATTTAAAAGAGAATCTAACCTAATCTTTCTACATGGTTTGTGTAACACTAATCTCCATAGCATATAGGCATTGAAGTCCACATGTTTTTTGGACTGTAAGGCTGAAATACACTGATGTTCTATGTTTTCATCTTAGTTCTTATAAGCCAATATGTGGTGACATGTTAGCTGGTAAATGTGATGAGATTATGCTGGTTATATGGCAGGCTCAAACCACAAGTGAGTTTCATATGTGTATGTTCACACTACTTCCCTCCATTATCTATAATGGCTGCTACATGAGTTGATCTGCCTTTATTTTTAAATGTTTTAATGTCACGATTTGCTTTTAAAATAGATATAGTACAGTATGCTAAGGTGATTATTGCTCAGTGCAAATTCTGTTGAGCTGCTGATAATGTGATGCCTCCACTGAGAGGTGCCATATTTCAAGTGAGCGTATTTATCTTTTTGCAGTGATTGTTTATCCATTTTTTTGCAGGAAGTATTGTCAGCTGTTACGCTAACCAAATTGCTGGTCAACTGCCCGTTAACTGGAGAGAAAGAGAAAGCTTTCTGGTTTACCAGCCCACAGATAATCACAGCTTTAGTTGTAAGTACCTCCCACGGTATAAGTTACCTATCACTTTTGTTTGACAGAGCCTGAAACAATTGTGTCTGAAACATACATAAAAAGATATTTAAAAAAAAAAAAATTCTACATTTGACATCAGTTTGGCTAGGATCCATTTACGCTGTTTGGCCCAAATTTCCTCAAGTATATACCTGTATATTGGCATGGCACACACACTCATTCATTAACATCACCATTACTTTGAGGAAAATTATATCTTTGGGGCTGCACTGCATTGTGTAGAGGTTGAGAGCATCTCACTAGGCTACATGGAGATGCTTAGAGAGTTGCCTCTCCCCAGGCCTGGGCAACTCTTCTTCCGATCCAAAGGAGGAGAAAACTGTTTGTTGGCTTTTTGCTTTGCTACAAGGCCAAACTAATAAAAAAGAGCATATAAAAATGACTGAATAAGTGAATTAAAATAATTAAATCCGTTTCGTTACCTGTGTTGTGGCTGCACGCAACTGTAGTAGTGTTGGTGCTTGCCATCACAATGCCTGACTCTCTGGGACCAGAGATTGTCTGGCAGGGGCTTGGGGTGAGTCAATGTTTGTGAAGGACAGAACTATCCACTGGAACAGTGTAAAAACATGAACAGATGCAAATAGACCCTGTAGAACACATTCTGTATGCATCTTCTCTATGGGATTGTGGGATAGATGCAACAATGCACAGACCCTGCAGTGCTTTCAGGGAATGCTGCATGGGGATATGGCGCATGGCATGTGCCTAAAACAGATTGATTAGTACGGATGAGGCTTTATGCTGTTGCAGTTTGCGCCAGTGTACTCCTGCTGGTTCAAGTTGCAACAGTACAATTCTCTGGTGTGGAAGAAGGGGGTGGGTAGAGACAGCGGAATTCTTTTTTGTTATTGTTGTCTTGTCTTTCACATGTAGATTCAAACCAAAGAGGCTTGTCGGGATCAATCGCTGATTCCCACCATTGTTGTTCCTATACTGGAGACAGTAGCAGCCCTGCTGAGGCAAGGAGAAGAGATTCTCTCCAATCCCCATCACGTGAGCCTGGCATTCAGCATTCTGCTGACTGTCCCTCTGGATCATTTGAAGATGGAGGAGTATGGGAGCATCTTCCTGGGAATTCATGAAGTGCTGTTTTCCATACTGCAGTGTCACCCTAAGGTGAAGGGAGAAGGGGCTTGAAGGGTGGGGGATCAGAAATTTTAAGAAGCCAATCCCTGACCTATGACCAGGAGGTTGAAAACGTGGAGGTTCTGAAATGATAAGATATTTGGAAGCAAATTATCACAACCTCTAAAGTTAGATTTGGCCAAAGTTTTCAAAAGGGCCTAAGTTCCATATTTAAAAAAAAAAAAAAAAAAAAAATGAGACAGGCACTTAGGCTAAGTCTCTTTGTAGATCAAAAGGTCTTAAGCACCTGGCTGTGTAAGTCACTTTTGAAAATTTTTGCCTCTAGTGCCTGTCAGCTGAAAGCTGATTTTTCCAAACTGTTTTCAGATGAATAAGTGTGTTGGTCCTTAAATCTCTGGTCCCTTGGGCAAGCACTGGTTCAGGACAGACAGCGGTAAATGCCCCAGGCATTAGAACAGCATAACTTTCAACCTCTGCTTTGTGGATGTGGGATTACTTTGAGATGATTGTAATTATTTGTATTAACCATAGCACCTACCAGCCCTAGTCAGGTACCAGGACCCCATTGTGCCAGCAGCCGTAGAAACAGAACAAAAAGACAGTCCCTTCCCTGTAGCGCGTACAGGCGATGTACCTTCCTTTAAAGCACATAAATCCACTCTTATTTTGGGATGTTGAATGTCATGCTGCATGTGCTGCTTTAATAAAGGAACCATCCTCAAAGCCTTTTTTCTGTACTGCATTAGGTATTTATCTGATCCTCTTTCATTTGATGTTCTTGCAGGTGATGCTAAAAGCAGCGCCATCTTTCCTGAACAGCTTCAATAGGCTGGTTGTTTCTGTTATGCACGAGGGGCGACAGAAAGGAGACAGAGGTGCTGTGTCATCATTTTCATTAACGTACCCGACTCTGAGTGGGTGCAATGCACAGAAGAATGTGCAGGACAGGGCAGGCTGTGTGTAACATTAGAAGTTGAAACAAAGTCCCAGGGCCAGATCATGGCTTTTGGGCCACTGGCCACATAGGCAGAAGTGAGGATGAGCCACGTAGCAATCTGCACTCTGACACTCTTTGAAAGGTTCTTTCCAGGCTTCATCCTGGGAGACTAGCATAGTGCTTCCATTTCGAACTGTAATCCTGGCTGGCCCCAGCACAATGACACAACGCAGACAGGGGCAGGGCTCCTTGTACCTTATGTCAGTTCCTCTCCCCGACCTTTGCATTCTCACTCAGAAACAGCCACAGTAGCCCCCATTGTATAAGGTCAGTGAAGGTTTTAGGAAAAGCATGTTTTTTCTGGTGTGGTGGCTCCAAATGCTGATGATTTACACCATCGCACTTGGGAAAGGGCTTTATATATGTGCTACTAAACAGAGCCCTGTGTTGCAGATGTTAGATATGCTACAGACTACATGTTCATCATTGTGTGTTAGATACAAAACCAGAATCTTGTACATGTTCAAAGTGTTACTTGGGATTTACTTATTTGACTCCATTAATTCACGTGGCTAAAACCAAGTTCACTGCTTTGAAATTTACCCCACTTTGTGTGTGTGTGTTATAACCATGTATATGCAATAGGCAAGTACACTAAGATATTCCAAAGGGGAGAGAGAGGAATGATATATTGATGCACCTATGGCATAAAAACTGGGGCTTATACATTTCAGTAGTATCCACATTTTCTAAAGAGAAAAATCAGCGGAAAGCTACAGGTTCAGGAAATGCTGTGATTTAGATACACTTTGTCTACCCCTGCAGAATTATTGTATTTTAATAATAAAAAACAAGACACATGCCTGAATTTTCCCCCCACTTTCCTCCTAATTTCTATTAAGTTATCTCATTGCCTGCCAGTGAAGGATTGTTCCCTACAGAAAATTCAAGTCCTCTGTCCCATCTAGTTTTTAATGTCTCCAGTGATGGTGATTCTCTTTGGAGACTGTGCCATGTAATAGGTCTCATTATCAAGAAGCAGCTTCTTGATCTAGTATTCTGCAAGTGGCACTTCAAAAAAAAAAAAAAAAAAATCTGATGTTTTTGCTCTTTTTCCAGTTAACTGGGCAGAGGGCTGGAACATGGGAGGTACCTTCCCCGCCCTTCTTTCTGCTTGAATTCATGTAACAAAAGTTGGCTGCATCCTAGTGTATGGTGGAGTTGAAACAGCCTTCTGCCTTTATTCTTACAATATTGCCCTTGAAAGAGAGTCTATAAAGTGTTGTAAGGGATTGTTCATTTTCATAAGGGCACAGTTGCTTTTAAACCACTCTTCTGTTCTCACCTCTCCTGTAATTAAAAAAATGCATTTTGGCAAATCCAAAATATGAAACCATGGCTAGGTAGTTGCTGAAGTTTTGTTTTTTGGGTTTTTTTTCCTTGTATAACAATTTTTTTTAACCCCTAATTTTGCACCACAATTTGATTTCTGTTTTAGGGAGCACAGATGAGTTTGGAGTTGTATTGAAATGTGCACACTTGGTGGAAAGGATGTATAGTCACATTGCTGCAAAAACAGAGGAGTTCACAGTGTTTTCTGTCTTTATAGTGGCCCAATACGTGATTGAACTGCAGAAGGTAATATACACTCATCCACCTTAAAGTCATTTATAAGGTTCAGGTTGAGAGTCACTTATTGTTTAAAAGACAACTATTTTAAATTTTTTAAAAATCCACATGCTGACTTGGATGTCTTGAAATTTGCTGTACCTCCTAGGGATGCAGAGTAGGGATAGTGTTCTAAATTTGTGGTCATTTGAGCAAAGGTTCCTGAGATGATCTACCCCTTAAAATTGTTTTTACAAAATCTCCTGGTTCTTCTGGTGTGTTGGTTTTTTGTTTTGTTTTTGCATACACCTGGGGCTCGAACTATGGTTCTAATTCTCCCCAAATTGATCTCAGGTGCTTGGAATTATCTCGGCTGGTACATGATATCACTTCCCCAAAGGGGCAGTGGTGTCTTGAAAAAGTTAGAGGATAAAGTTTACTACGCCAGGTCAGGTTGAGCTTTCTGATGAATCAAAGAGAGAGTGATAGCCACGTGGGCATGTGCAGCAAGACTAGGGCTTTGTTGAAATCGGAGAGTTTGTAGGCAGCCCGCTCTTTCGGAAGGTGAGTGGCGAAAGGTGATGTGCTGTGGTCATTAAATCTGAGGACACTCATGCACTGAGTTTGAGCCCACCCTTGGCAGTTATCAGAGACCGCTTGGACATCTTATGCCTTGCTCTCTGCCTGCATTCTGTAGGGGTTTCTCTTGGACATTTTACCCTCAGACTAAAATTTCTGGTTTGAGAGCAATAATTTAGTGCTCTAAAATCTATAACCAGGCTCTAATCTTATTTTAGAAGTACTGCCAAGAATTTGACATTAATTAAACAGAGGAAAGAGTCTAGTAAGCAGTTAAGATGGTTACATCTTTCTCAACCATTTCTACTGAAAGCAAATATTCTTGCTCTTGCATAGTCTACAATGGAGTAGCTCCTTACAGCCAGACTTAATTTCTGAATTACTAATTTGTTCCAGGTTAGCCAATTTGGATTTCATTGAACACTGCCTGTGTCCATCAAAGCCTGCAAAATCCTCTTGTAATTAATTTGTGCTAGTGATCAGGGTTTTTTACATGTCTCCCTGTCCTAGGTTTAAAACTTCAACTGGGCCTTTTTCGTTTCTGTGCAGGACACACAGCTGCTCCATATCCTGCCTACTTACCCTAATTATTGATGTCCTGGTTATTGAATTTGCCCCAGCTAAGGCTCTAGAGAGTACTCGTGCTAAGGGCTGTCTCACAGCAAACTCTTTCCAAGGACTGCATTGTGTACGAGCCTCTCTGGGCCTGATCCATTGATATTCAGGTACCTTTCTGCAGTCGCCCAGCCAAGCGGGTTTGTCTTGCTCTCCTTGGCTGCTGCTGTTCAAATGTCCAAATCCTCATCTTTGCATCAGCCATCTGGAGCAACTGCTGGAGGATCAAAAATCTCCACAGTTGTTGTCTGGCTTAATCCACTTCTGTACAGCTTGCCGGGTGCCTCACTGGGCTGCATTTCACATGAGCGGAACTTCAGGCCGTCTCTAGACGGACATCATACTTGCAAAGTACTGCTGCATTTTAACACTGTGATAATCTTTGAGTGTCCGCCACTGAGAGTGCCACCTGTGCTGCCCGAACCTTCAGTTGGCCGAACAGAGGATTTTGTCCTTAGCTTCCCACATAATTCGGCCACCCTTTCAAGTAATGTTCAGCACGATCAGTTTCCTCAAGCTTCTGCAGTCAGAGCCATTCCCAGCAATAAGCTGGATATGGGTGATGGAGAGGAGTGACTGGAAGTAGTGCCATAGGGAACTCCCAACAGGGATAACTTTGGTGTTAACAAATCCAGCTGCTCCTGTCTTGCCTATCTTTTCCCCAGTAGGACTAACTGGGGTAAATTAAGTTCTTGCTGCCAGGTCCTTCTGCAACTCACTCACATGCTGTTCAGACTTGTCTGTCTGTACTTTTTTGTGGTTTCCCTTCCCTACCTGTTTTTTCTAGCAGTGTTGAGTAACTGATCCACAGCAGCATGCTCTCTGGTATCTGCTTTACCTGTTTCCACATCCTCAGCGGAAGCTGCCAGCTTCTACTTCCTTGCTCTTTGTAATCATTTTTATGTTTTTACCTTTCCTTTTCTTTTCCACAAACTGCACCCTCCCACACCAAGACCAGGCAAATCCCGCTTTGGTATCAATTGCAGCTGTGGGGGCTCCAGGTGAGGAAGGAGTGAAGAAAGGGAGTGGGGGAAAATATTCATTCAGTGTAAATGCAGGGTGCTCTTCTACCAAGTCCTCCTATCCCCCCCCCAAATTAGAGGAATTAAAACTATAAACAGCCATTGCTCAAAAGATATTACTAGAGCATTTGGATGGGCAATCCATAAAGCAAACTGAGATACCACTATTCACTGGTTTCTGAATAAGAGCAGCTACTCCCTATATGAGAGTACGTATGGCCAAAGTTTTAAAAAGTGGGTGCATCACTTGATCTTAAAGTTTGCTGGGGTGTAAATCTACCCCACACTAGCTTGCCATGCACTAACTGTCCACATGGACCCTGCTGCTGTGCAGTAAGAGTCCCGAGTGAGCTTTGATCTACGCCCATGTCAAAAGCAGGGTAAATCAAAGCACACTATGAAGCTGTTTGTGTGTGGCAGCAGGGTCCACACTCAATGCACGGCAGGCTATTGCGAGGAACTAACTCTTCATTTAGACATGCCATCAGTGTTTCAGAACAGAGTCTTTCATATATAGAGCATAAGTTTGTTCTGCAAATAACAATGAAAGTTAATGTTTGAATCTCTTTGGTTTAAACATGCTGTTTCACTGGTTTTAAGCCTCACTCTTTAAAACCTGCTCAGTAGCTATGCTCACTAATTATAGAACCGCTGACTGTTCCGCAAGTGGTGTCTGTTTTAATTTTCACATACGGACATTTTCAAGTTATTTGATTCTGTGTTAGAGCGTAAGGCCTCTTGAGACTTTAGCTAAAGGGTGCGGTGTAACCATATGCCTAACTAGTTGATGATAAATAACTGCACAAATGAATCTTTGTTTGGGGATTCATATGTTAATGGAATAATTGAGCATGAGGAGGAGAGTTAATGAATTGGTGGGACACTTACTGAATTGGTGACGTGGAGTTTTCTTTTTTAAAAAAAAAAAAAAGAGGATCGATCTCAAAGGGGAAAGGGGCTGGACCTGTACATGCTAGAAAGCACTTGTGACCTCTCATGTTGCTCTGAAAGAACAGAGGAGAAACCCCTTTTCAAAGTAGATTTTTACAAAGGCTGCACACACACTTGTACTCTCTCAATCATAAAGGGCACTTTCCCCTGATGAAAAATCTAGTTTATCAATATTTATCACAACAAATGTAGACCCTTATTAATTATTCTGAAATAAACCTCGAAAAGTCCATCATTGGCCCTGGGTACACCTGCAGCCTCTTCCACATGCTTGATCTCACCTTTCATGCATTATCTCAGAGCTGCAGCATAATTCAGTAATGATGAAATAATTCTTCACACACTTAGCCATCCCCCATCAAGAGTTCTGTAACGCAAATTGGTCTTGCTAACTATGTAGACCATAACACGTGTGTAGGTAGAATTAACTGCCAGCTCACAGTGGCAGTTGTGTAAATCTCATAAGGTTTTTAGACAGTGGTTTGTGGGAATTGCATTGTAGAATAAAGACAGTCAAGAGGAGTTGGCCAAATTCAGATGTGGTGTAAGCAGGTGTAACTCCACTGCAGATGCATCTGCTTACACCAGGTATGAACTTGATCCAAATTCTCAATTATAGTGGCATTTCATGCTGTTCCTTCTGTGCAGCGATCAGCTGGCTCTTCATCCTCTTAGAAGGCAGCCCCTGCCCCTTCACTGCTCTGTGGCCTCAGAGCAGAAAGAGAGCCTGGACCCGACACAGTCATTAGGAGTTCACTTCCATAGTGAAGAGTGTATTACTTGCCTCAGGAAGAGAGGAAAATTCTGAGTTTTAATGAGAGCCTTTCATGCAGTTTTCATTATGCTCGGAGTGCAGAAGCACAGGTCTGGAGGCACCAAGTTAATTTTAGTATTCAGCAGAGATAAGACCTATTTCTGTGGCAAGAACAGCATGATCCGCTCCAGAGGCCACCTGAATCTAAAGCAGTAAAATGTTCAGTGAGCGGGTTATGATCCGAGGATGTGTTCCAGTTTGCCTAGAGCCCCAAAACACTCCAGAGTCAGCCTTGATGAGCTTTGTTATGGGGATTATGGCAGTTGTGGGAAGACAGCGTGTCTAGTGATCAGCAAGGGACTGAGTTAGGAGTTTTAGGTTGTATTCCCAGCTCTGCCATTAGCTTGCTGTATGACTTAAGGCAAGTCTTTTAATTTCTGTGTGCCTGGGGTTCCACGGGGTTAAAATGGGTCAAGTAGACACACACCTGAGAGGGTGTTCTTTAAGGCTTCTGTAATTAATGTTTATAAAGCAAATTGAAATTCTTGGGTAAAAGTTGCTAGATAAATGCAGTTATTAAACTGGAAGAGGCAAAACAAACTAACCATTTTAGATGTAGGCTCACAGAAGGACTTGTTCCTAACTGAGATTTCAGTGTGCAGCATGCAGCTGATATGTTGGCTATTGTTCCGTCTCCTGAATATGAAGGAGGTGTACAAAAAGCTGCTGGAAAAATCTATTCCAGGATGGGTGTCTTAGAATATTTTACTGTAGGGTTTTTTTTGTTGGGATGATTTCAAATTCTCCCAAATATAACAGAGCGTTTACCTGAACACTCAGCACCGCTGCAAATTTTAATATACAGGATTATATATTACTGCTGTGTTTTAAATCAGGTTTGCAAAATCGGGGAGATAATTTATTATCTAATATTTTACACGGTGTTTTAACAGACCATTCTAGATGGGCTGATACCTTGGATTGTATCTTGTCAGTACTTTTATTTCCAGTCACTTGACGTATACTAACTATGGAAAGTAAAAAGTTTCATGAGATTTTGTTCATCTCCTAGGTGACCTTACTTCCAGCTGTAAAGAAACATCTAACTGAGGGAATGTATCACATCCTAGACCTTTGCATTGAACGCGACATCAAGTTCTTAAACGCATCGCTACAGATGGGCGTAAGAGAAGTCTTTAAGGAATTGTACAATGATTATACCCACTACCACAAAACTAAAAAACATGGGGAGAAAAAGTACACTGCGTGACGTATCATTCCTAACATTTGCATAATCAATAAGAACTTGATCTTGTGTGGAGCTGAGAAACCTCAGCTCTGATTGAGTTCAGGATGATCAGCACGTTGCAGGATCATGCCATCAGTTGTTTTGCTAAAAGTAAAATACTGAATTATATGTCCCTGTATAACTGGCCTTGACATCTATGGTAGGAAAAGGACACATGCTTAGGCCTCGGCCCTGCTGCAGCTGTGCAGAGCCCCACTGAAATCTTTCTCTGCAGCCTGTATATGTGCTACTTATTGCAGGATCTGGGGCCTTATGTAATTTTCCTGTGCAAGCAAAGAATGTACTGAGTGAAAACCTTCAGTTATTATACAACTGCCCTGCCCTGTTTACAATGGGGAGCAGCGCTAAATAATGGTAAAGTGCCCCACGCCATACTTTGTTTTACATTCATGCTAAATAAATTTATTTGTGTGCAACTGTAAAATATTCAGTCCGCTTCTGTTACAAAATTGTGTAAATACAGATTTTTAGAAAACCTGAAGTGGTGTTTGTATCTGTCTAGCCAGTAAGTTTTTCTACTGTGTCTTATGAAGTATCATCATAAACACTGACCTGCTAGAAAGCTTTATCAAATATCTCCTTTCTGTCAAACCCAAAACACAGCTGATGCTGCCCTCCTGTGACTGTTTCATAAAATCACACATACTCACTTAATTTGCGCAAATATATAACCAAAGTGAATCATTCTGCCTGAGTGCTTTTTGGTATCTTTACAAGTAATACCTAAGCTTTCCATAAGTGAAAGAGATTAGAGTGGGGGAAAAAGCTCTTGCTTTTATTTTGTTGACTTTATGTATAGTCAATTTCAGTCTTCCCCACATCATTAACCAATTATTATTTGTATTACAGTAATGACCAGAGGTCCCTTGTGCTAGGCACTGTACAAACACAGTGAGATATGTCTGTCCCTGCTGCCAAATACTTACCTACCTACCTAAGGGTGGGGAAGGGAAACAGGCCCAGACAGATGAAGTGACCTTCCAAAGGTCACACAGCAAGTCAGTGCTGAGATGAGCCAGAATTCAAGTCACCTGTCTTTGAGTTCAGTGCCCTCTCCAGTGGGCAATGCTGCCCCCCAGCTTAGGCTCCTGGAAACTGCTCCAGGCAGGAAGACAATGGAACCCCATTGACTCTAGTGCCTGCATGAAGCAGTTTGCAAAAGTGGAGGCATAGTAATTCCCCTCCCTTTTGTTTGTGTGGAGCTTTCACCCAGCAACAGGGAAGAGAAAAGGATATCTAAGCCCTGGTCTACACTAGGACTTTAGGTCGAATTTAGCAGCGTTAAATCGATTTAAACCTGCACCCGTCCACACAATGAAGCCCTTTATTTCGACTTAAAGGGCTCTTAAAATCGATTTCCTTACTCCACCCCTGACAAGTGGATTAGCGCTTAAATCGACGTTGCCGGCTCGAATTTGGGGTACTGTGGACACAATTCGATGGTATTGGCCTCCGGGAGCTATCCCAGAGTGCTCCATTCTGACCGCTCTGGACAGCGCTCTCAACTCAGATGCACTGGCCAGGTAGACAGGAAAAGAACCGCGAACTTTTGAATCTCATTTCCTGTTTGGCCAGCGTGGCAAGCTGCAGGTGACCATGCAGAGCTCATCAGCACAGGTGACCATGATGGAGTCCCAGAATCGCAAAAGAGCTCCAGCATGGACCGAACGGGAGGTACGGGATCTGATCGCTGTTTGGGGAGAGGAATCCGTGCTATCAGAACTCCGTTCCAGTTTTCGAAATGCCAAAACCTTTCTGAAAATCTCCCAGGGCATGAAGGACAGAGGCCATAACAGGGACCCGAAGCAGTGCCGCGTGAAACTGAAGGAGCTGAGGCAAGCCTACCAGAAAACCAGAGAGGCGAACAGCCGCTCTGGGTCAGAGCCCCAAACATGCCGCTTCTATGATGAGCTGCATGCCATTTTAGGGGGTTCAGCCACCACTACCCCAGCCGTGTTGTTTGACTCCTTCAATGGAGATGGAGGCAATACAGAAGTAGGTTTTGGGGACGAAGAAGATGATGATGAGGAGGTTGTAGATAGCTCACAGCAAGCAAGCGGAGAAACCGGTTTTCCCGACAGCCAGGAACTGTTTCTCACCCTAGACCCGGAGCCAGTACCCCCCGAACCCACCCAAGGCTGCCTCCTGGACTCAGCAGGCGGAGAAGGGACCTCTGGTGAGTGTACCTTTTAAAATGCTATACATGGTTTAAAAGCAAGCATGTGAAAGGATTACTTTGCCCTGGCATTTGCGGTTCTGCCTTTGCAAAAGGTTTCTGGGGAGGGCAGCCTTATTTCGTCCTTCATGGTAGGACACTTTACCACTCCAGGCCAGCAACACGTACTGGGGAATCACTGTAGAACAAAGCATTGCAGTGTATGTTTGCTGGCATTCAACCAAAATCCGTTCACGCAGTGGGAGGAGGCAAAATGCGACCTTGTAACGAAAGCACATGTGCTATGTATGTAATGTTAACAGCAAGGTTTACCCTGAAAGAGTGTAGCGACTGTTTTATAAAATGTGTCTTTTTAAATACCGCTGTCCCTTTTTTTTTCTCCACCAGCTGCATGTGTTTCAATGATCACAGGATCTTCTCCTTCCCAGAGGCTAGTGAAGCTTAGAAAGAAAAAAAAACGCACTCGTGATGAAATGTTCTCCGAGCTCATGCTGTCCTCCCACACTGGCAGAGCACAGACGAATGCGTGGAGGCAAATAATGTCAGAGTGCAGGAAAGCACAAAATGACCGGGAGGAGAGGTGGCGGGCTGAAGAGAGTAAGTGGCGGGCTGAAGACAGGGCTGAAGCTCAAAGGTGGCGGCAGCGTGATGAGAGGAGGCAGGATTCAATGCTGAGGCTGCTGGAGGACCAAACCAGTATGCTCCAGTGTATGGTTGAGCTGCAGCAAAGGCAGCTGGAGCACAGACTGCCACTGCAGCCCCTCTGTAACCAACCGCCCTCCTCCCCAAGTTCCATAGCCTCCACACCCAGACGCCCAAGAACGCGGTGGGGGGGCCTCCGGCCAACCAGCCACTCCACCACAGAGGATTGCCCAAAAAAAAGAAGGCTGTCATTCAATAAATTTTAAAGTTGTAAACTTTTAAAGTGCTGTGCTTAAAGTGCTGTGTGGCATTTTCCTTCCCTCCTCCACCACCCCTCCTGGGCTACCTTGGTAGTCATCCCCCTATTTGTGTGATGAATGAATAACGAATGCATGAATGTGAAGCAACAATGACTTTATTGGCTCTGCAAGCAATGATTAAAGGGAGGAGGGGAGGGTGGTTAGCTTACAGGGAAGTAGAGTGAACCAAGGGGCAGGGGTTCATCAAGGAGAAACAAACAGAACTTTCACACCGTAGCCTGGCCAGTCATGAAACTGTTTTTCAAAGCTTCTCTGATGCGTACCGCGCCCTCCTGTGCTCTTCTAACCGCCCTGGTGTCTGGCTGCGCGTAACCAGCAGCCAGGCGATTTGCCTCAACCTCCCACCCCGCCATAAACGTCTCCCCCTTACTCTCACAGATATTGTGGAGCACACAGCAAGCAGTAATAACAGTGGGAATATTGGTTTCGCTGAGGTCTAAGCGAGTCAGTAAACTGCGCCAGCGCGCCCTTTAAACGTCCAAATGCACATTCTACCACCATTCTGCACTTGCTCAGCCTGTAGTTGAACAGCTCCTGACCACTGTCCAGGCTGCCTGTGTACGGCTTCATGAGCCATGGCATTAAGGGGTAGGCTGGGTCCCCAAGGATACATATAGGCATTTCAACATCCCCAACAGTTATTTTCTGGTCTGGGAATAAAGTCCCTTCCTTCAGCTTTTGAAACAGACCAGAGTTCCTGAAGATGCGAGCATCATGCACCTTTCCCGGCCATCCCACGTTGATGTTGGTGAAACGTCCCTTGTGATCCACCAGAGCTTGCAGCACTATCGAAAAGTACCCCTTGCGGTTTATGTACTCGGCGGCTTGGTGCTCCGGTGCCAAGATAGGGATATGGGTTCCATCTATAGCCCCACCACAGTTAGGGAATCCCATTGCAGCAAAGCCATCCACTATGACCTGCACATTTCCCAGGGTCACTACCCTTGATATCAGCAGATCTTTGATTGCGTGGGCTACTTCCATCACAGCAGCCCCCACAGTAGATTTGCCCACTCCAAATTGATTCCCAACTGACCGGTAGCTGTCTGGCGTTGCAAGCTTCCACAGGGCTATCGCCACTCGCTTCTCAACTGTGAGGGCTGCTCTCATCTTGGTATTCATGCGCTTCAGGGCAGGGGAAAGCAAGTCACAAAGTTCCATGAAAGTGCCCTTATGCATGCGAAAGTTTCGTAGCCACTGGGAATCGTCCCAGACCTGCAACACTATGCGGTCCCACCAGTCTGTGCTTGTTTCCCGAGCCCAGAATCGGCGTTCCACAGCATGAACCTGCCCCATTAGCACCATGATGCATGCATTGTCAGGGCCCATGCTTTCAGAGAAATCTGTGTCCATGTCCTGATCACTCACGGGACCGCGCTGACGTCGCCTCCTCGCCCGGTATCGCGTTGCCATGTTCTGGTGCTGCATATACTGCTGAATAATGCGTGTGGTGGTTAATGTGCTCCTAATTGCCAAAGTGAGCTGAGCGGGCTCCATGCTTGCCGTGGTATGGCGTCCGCACAGAAAAAAGGCGCGGAACGATTGTCTGCCGTTGCTCTGACGGAGGGAGGGGCGACTGACGACACGGCTTACAGGGTTGGCTTCAGGGAGCTAAAATCAACAAAGGGGGTGCCTGTACATCAAGGAGTATTTCAGGCAGGACTGCACGGAGGGTTCCAATAAGAAATGGTGCACCTAAGTTATCGTTGTATTGGAACAAGGAGGTTAGCCTGGCCTCTGATTGATACATGGCTAGATTTACCTCGCTGCACCTTCTCTGTGAGTGACTGCAGTGTGACCTAGAGGAATGAGTCCCCTAGACAGGGGAGGAGGCAAATGAGTACAAAACAAATCTGGTCTATTTCTTGTTTTGACCCACTCCATCTATCTTTTACATCTTTGGCTGGCAGCAGACGGTGCAGAAGGACTGCATGCCATCCACATCTCATGGCTGCTCGGCAGAAGATGGTACAGTACGACTGCTAGCCATCCCCATCTCTTGCCTGCCTGGCAGAAGATGGTGCAATATGACTGCTAGCAATCCTCATCTCTTGCCTGCCTGGCAGAAGATGGTACAGTACGACTGCTAGCAGTCCGTATCGCCTGCCCGCTCACCATAAGATGGTTCAATAGGACTGACTGCAGGACTAAAGAGAATGACCTGGTCAAGTCACTCCAAATTTAGTCCCTGCGCCCATGTCTGCCCAGGCGCTCCCAGCCGACGCGGCCAGGAGCACCTCGGACACGATGAGGACGACTACCAATCGTATTGCACCGTCTGCTGCCAGAAGGCAAGGGGTTGCTGCTACTGTGCAGCAAAGCCGTACCGCGTCTGCCAGCACCCAGGAGACATAGGGTGACGGTTACCTGAGCGGGCTCCATGCTTGCTGTGGTATGGCGTCTGCACAGGTAACTCAGGAAAAAAGGCACGAAATGATTGTCTGCCCTTGCTTTCACGGAGGGAGGGAGGGAACGGGGGCCTGACGACACGTACCCAGAACCACCCGCGACAATGTTTTAGCCCCATCAGAGTGCTCCATTGTGACTGCTCTGGACAGCACTCTCAGATGCCCGATTGTTTGCCATTGCTCTGACGCTGGGAGGGGCGCTTACAGGGTTGGCTTCAGGGAGCTAAAATCAACAAAGGGGGTGGCTTTACATCAAGGAGTATTTCAGGCAGGACTTCACGGAGGGTTCCAATAAGAAATGGTGCACCTAAGTTATTGTCCTTATTGGAGCAAGAAGGTTAGCCTGGCCTCTGATTGATACATGGCTAGATTTACCTCGCTGCACCTTCTCTGTAAGTGACTGCAGTGTGATCTAGAAGAATGAGTCCCCTAGACAGGGGAGGGGGGGGAAGCAAATGAGTACAAAACAAATCTGGTCTATTTCTTGTTTTGACCCACTCCATCTATCTTTTACATCTTTGGCTGGCAGCAGACGGTGCAGAAGGACTGCATGCCATCCACATCTCATGGCTGCTCGGCAGAAGATGGTACAGTACGACTGCTAGCAGTCCGTATCGCCTGCCCGCTCACCATAAGACGGTTCAATAGGACTGACTGCAGGACTAAAAGAGAATGACCTGGTCAAGTCACTCCAAATTTAGTCCCTGTGCCCATGTCTGCCCAGGCGCTCCTGATCGACCTCACAGAGGCGACCAGGAGCACCTCAGACATGACGATGACGGCTACCAGTCGTACTGTACCGTCTGCTGCCACAAGGCAAGGGGTTGCTGCTACTGTGTAGCAATGCCGTACCGCGTCTGCCAGCACCCAGGAGACATAGGGTGACGGTTACCTGAGCGGGCTCCATGCTTGCCATGGTATGGCGTCTGCACAGGTAACTCAGGAAAAAAGGCGCGAAATGATTGTCTGCCCTTGCTTTCACGGGGGGAGGGAGGGAACGGGGGGCTGACGATATGTACCCAGAACCACCCGCGACAATGTTTTAGCCCCATCAGGCATTGGGATCTCAACCCAGAATTCCAATGGGCAGCGGAGACTGCGGGAACTGTGGGATAGCTACCCACAGTGCAACGCTCCGGAAGTCGACGCTTGCCTCGGTACTGTGGAAGCGCTCCGCCGAGTTAATGCACTTAATGCACTTAGAGCATTTTCTGTGGGGACACACACACTCGAATTTATAAAACCGATTTCTAAAAAACCGACTTCTATAAATTCGACCTTATTCCGTAGTGTAGACATACAGGAAACTTGAATTTACAAAACCCCCAAAATTGGCAGGGGAATTCAGAGTCTAGTGTCCCTGAAACAACCTTTAACTCGTATCTTCTGCCTGATTATATAGACCAGGGGTTCTCAAACTGGGGGTTGTGACCACTCAGGGGGTTGCAAGGTT